ATTTTCGAATGCTAGAGAGCACAATGCACCCTACAACAAGTAACTATTTGCCAGCTTCATTTCATTCAGATGTTATGTTGTTTGCATGTATATGTAGGATGTACACAGGTACAAAGATATTGAATTTAACATTCAATACCAGTCTCAAAAGAAAATCCCTGTTAGTATTCTTGAAATCTTCCTGGAAATCAGTGTATCCTTTCTGCACTATGTAGAGCAATAATAACACAATTGTGCTTTGCTCATTAGTACTAAGAGTTAAATTTGCTTTTATACTCCTACTTTATCCTCCCAAATTGTCATTTGAAATGGATTAGGCTAGCAATTACAGAATTACATGAAGGAAGAGGGAGCTGGTCATTCTTGAGTTTCAGCCCAGCAACTTGACCTTGTTAAATAAAGAAAATATACAGATTATAGGAAAGGATTCTTTCAACTTTGCTTTGGTTTTAGCTATTACAGGGTAGATAAAGACTAAACAATAAGAACTACATTGAAAATGTCAAATGTAAATGTCAATTAAAAATTACAAGGAATTCTGAAAGGTAAGGTCTGTGGGGGGGTTGACATTCTTTGACATAGTGGAGTGTCTGCGACCAGGCCCTTGGCAAGCAGAGCAGCATCCACGCTGTCAGCTCTTATCGTACATAAACTTAGATGCTTGTCTAATCTGAATGAGAAATACCAGGGAAATTGGAGCTGAAGCCTAGCAGTAATGTAGATGGAGGCTGAAAATGCTCTGTCTGCAGTACGTGCGAGGCTTTTGTGACATGACAGTATTTGAGACAGTATAGAAAAAATATAAGGAAAAAATAATTTAAAGAAAGCTATACAGTGCTTCACTTTTAAAATTGAGAATGTAGCAACCTAGTGGTAAAACAAGTTTAAGTACTAGAAGAAATTGGTAATAAAAAATGTGATTTAACGTCCATATTGAATACAGTTAAAGAAAAAGCATTAAAGTGTATATTTAATTAACCTAAATCATTCCAATGTAAATGCTAATATGTACAGAGGGTGGTCTGTTCTTTGCTTTGACAAACTGAAATTTGTTACAAAATAAAACAGACAAAAGTGATCATCAAAACAATTAACATTATAGCAATGCTAACCATGAGCTATGGTTTCCACAAGAAATGTCTTCATGGTCTACTGCTGAATGACTTTGTTAAAGGGGAAACCATCGGTGAAATATTAAAACATTACCTTGGAGCTGAAGTTAAAAAAAAATAAAAACTGCATCAACTATATGTTCATTTTGATACTGTTCAGGTGTCACTGAATAAAGATCTTGTTTAACATTGCTCTGCTAATTGGAGTAAACGGGGAGGAAGGGAGAAGCAAAGCAGAAATCTGTGTGTGTGAGATTCAAGAGCACTAGATAGCTCACAAATCCTAAGTCCCTCAGTGTTGCAGTAAGGTCAAAACCTTTCAGCATTGTACCAGCRTGTCAAAATATGTCAACAAACCATCATACTGCAAGAAGAGGAATGACCTTTCAGTTCTTTATGTTTGGGCTGCCAATGAAGCTTTGGATACTGGGTATGCATGAGCAGTTTTCCTAGCCACTTGACAAATGCAACTCCCAAGGTTTCTGCCAAGTCAAGTTGTTAAACTCCTGGCTTTCAACTTACCAATACAACTTTGGAGACCATTTGCAATAGGAGAACATTGATGCTGTTATAGACAGAACAGACATCTATAGATATGTAGTACAATTCCCTCTCTTCCCGTATCATCTACAACTACACAGCAAGTATTAAATAATCTTCACAGTGGCGTATGTTAAAACTTTTAAAATAGCTGTATACAAAAAAAAGTGTATCGTTTTTATGCTTTGATTCAGTCTTTGCTCACATACGATTCATCCTTTTAGTCAACAAAAAACGCACTCACACAAAATATCCCCCCCAAAATAAAACCACATCAGCTATGTTTGTGACTGAAATGGAATCTTACATGATTTTTCCCTTGCTATTTATCTGAAATATCTTTTTAATTCAACAGGACACAATTTTATTATTACAACAGTTAGTTATAAACAGAAGTCTCAAGATCAGACAATGAATTAATTAATAACTCATTTAATAATGAATTTAGGTTTCTAAAAAGTATGCGTACCACTTTAAAATTACTTAYGACAAACCTGCTCTTCTAATTCTTCTTTCAAAAAGTAGAAGCACACAACATTTAGATTACAAGAAAAGGGGGGAAGGAAATTAGTAGAGGGATGACTTACTATCCTTATGCAAAAGCAGAAGATGAAATGCTTCTTTCTCATTATGTTAAATTACCATTAGTCTAATATCAGTGTCAAATACGACATTTTGCTACGGTCTTCCTCATATATAGTGAAGGTTTTTTCCAGCTAATAACAGTGTCAAGCTTTCTCCTGGGAAATATAGAAATTATATTTCAGAGTGTACATACGTCTTAGGTTTGCAGAGAACTGCAAAAGTAAATTGCTGCATTTGAGTTTTTATCTTCTTACAGCAAGTCACTGACAGTACACTCACTAATTAGTATTTAAACTGTTTGTTGTTGATCTCTACATACCTCTTAGAAAGCAGCAGCCATGTCTATCAGCTCGGATTAACATACTTTTAGAGCTGGGACTCCAATTTTTAATTTAAGTCAGAGAAAAAACACACTAGTGGAAAAAAAAAACATAAGAAGAAGCAATATTGTTTTAAATTATGGAATGTTTTACAACTTGTTTTCAGACCCCTTTTTAAAGTGCAAATCTGGATCATTTCCTGTTCATGCTCTCCTTAGCAGTTTTTATCCTGATGGTTACAAAAAACTTATCAATGTTTGTAAGTGAGCAGTGAAAAACAAGTGTACAAATCAAGTCTGCTTTGCACATGCAGTTATCTGGTTCATACAGCAGCAGAGACAGACACAGCCCTGCTCAGCTGGAAACCACTGCTTGAGAGGAACACACTGAGCGAACAGATCCTGCAAGTATGTGGATCAGTTTAGAGAAAGTTCTTCCAAATGATAAAACATTTTTTTTTAATCTAAAYAGTCCTCTGCAAAATCCATCTTGTAATATGCAAAGCAAAAGTCAAAAGTTGCTTTTTCTTGTTTCTTCATTATTAGTGAAAGCTCCTAGTATCTAAACAGTGCCTTGAGTTACAACTGTGCAAACCCACTGACATGGTACGGTTTGTACATTTTTAATGGGAAGCTTAATTTGAAGATGAGGTTGCAGTGTAGCACTGCAATTGAAAATTGCTTAACAATACCATTGATGTATGAGCCATAAAAAACCTTGCTAAGCTGTCCCTGCAGAACTCAGAGTAATAAAAAGGTGTTCTTTTGCACTGAGGTGAACAGACATGGTTGACTGCATCTAGGGAGCTGTTCTGTTAAGTGAGAAAGCGCCATTTCTTTCCTGTCACTATAGGCCAATTTACGATACCCTCAGATTTAGTTAGCACAGAGTACAGGATTTAATGAAACATAAATATTGGAGCAAAGAAACCACAGCTATGCTCAAAAACTTTCAGTCAGATTGTGTGCAGAATTAAGCTTGCATCTGTGATAGATTAGGGAAAAAGAAAAAAAAAGGAACCTTTTCAGTCTCATCCCTATTTTTCCGGAAAACAAACAAGCAAATACCTCGATGGAAAAGGTCTAAAGCCTCTCCTATTCATTCCTTCAAATTATCTAGACATGGATTTCCATCTATATCTAACAGGCGATATTAAGAGTTCCCYGTCCAGTTTCAATTTCAGTTCAGCTTTAAATTCAACTAATAGTTCAGGTATACAGAAACCTAAACTATAGTGACCTGATGTCTCCATGATGACCCAATTCCCCTCTCCAGATCATCCATATACCTTCCAAAGAGGAAAAGYGATGGCACAGGTATAGCTGAATCAACTGGGAAATATATTGTCATCTCAAAGATCCTTGCATAAGTTGATTCATTACATCATTCAAAACTGATATACATTTTAGACATTGACTGGTGGCCATAGCCTGGCCACTGATGTCAGCATGTGCCACAGGTTGGGTGCTTGGCATGCTAGTGCCAGCATTCACACCGTGCTTCACATTACACTGAAACTCTCTTGAGAATACCGGGCAGACTCCCTCACCTGTGCTCTTCAAAATCSTTCATCAGAACTCTCCTTTACCTCACTGAGAATTTTTAGTAAGCCTGCAAGGGAATGCTATCTTCTTCTTGGTATTCCACCATCATATTCATCTTAATGCCATTTCGGTATCTTGCACTACATATGCATCTTTTGATCTTGTAGAGGATGGCCAGATTTTAGAAAAAAAAAAAGGTTTTTATTTTGTCTTCATAAAACGTCTACCACAACAATGGTCTAACCAGCGAGGATGCTTCTGGTACCACAGAAAGATATACAAACATATATCACAGGGACCTTTTTAAGAGTAATGCAGCATTATTTTAACAATCTTTATATAATGCCATAAAAATAATTATACTAGGAAAAACAAGCTCAAAAATTCTGTCCAGCATAAAATAATTTTCCTCTAACACTCCTACAGCTCCTTTTATTTTTTTTTAACTGAAGGTAATATTTGGTCTTACTGTAAAGACAATAGGCAGAAAAATAATTTTTATAAACAACACAAATCAACAGAATAYATATGATAAAATGACAATGAACGATATAGTTCTCTGTGTACAAGTCTATCTGCTAGACTGCATAGATTTTATGACAAGTTTGGCACCTTGCATATATAGCTAAAATATCACAGCAGAAACTTCCACCAAGCTCAGGCACTAAAAAAGTGAAATACAACTTCTGTATCAAAATAATTTATTCTATTATCTACTATCACTATAAAATCTCCAGCATTCCAATGTGATATTTTAATAAATGTAATGCAAAATATCAGATTAGTTACATACATTTTATTCACATGGTTTAATATCAAAGCCACTAGGTGTTATTTTATTCAGTAATTTTTTTTAAAATGAATATTATCTATCTATAGGAAAAAATATAGAAAAGTACCTATTCCAGTAGCTCCAAAACTGGTCCTGGAGGTAGGCTTGGTGGCTACTTTCATCACCAAAGGAGGCTTTGCTTTCAATCCAATGAATTATGTGTCCTTCAACAGCTGGGGTGATARCAGAAAATAAAAGCGAGTTACGAAAATCAAACTCAATAGCTTTTAYGAGTTCTATATTTATGAGTTGCATATTTACCCCCACAAACTACCATATGACTTATGTTTGCAACTGAGTTGTATACTTGTAAAAATATATTTCCATTATGCACATGAGWTATTTTCCCAAAAACTAACACAAAATATTTTAAAGGATAATTATTTTAACTACAGTTTAATTATATCTTATTCTAGGAGTACTCTATTTGCACTTATTCTAATGCAAACACAATACAAAGAAAAAGAGACCAGACTAAAGTGCAATTGCGCCCTATTTTTCTCCTTATTTTGCTTCCTAGTTGTCAAAAAAAAAAAAGAGTTGAAAACTTCTGGTGAATAACAAGGCCAGTTAGCCAAGCTGCTGAAGAGAGAAAGTTCTCAGCAATGTAGAGTGGAATGTGTGAGAACAGCAAGAAAGGTTATCCTAGACATATATATGYTCTTTATACTTCTGCAAAATCAGCAGTGCTTCATCAGGGAAAGGATGGCTTCTCTCAAAAAAGTGATTCTGAATTTCTGTTTCTCTCAATGTGATTTGATCCATGCCCTTCACTATTTTTTCTAGGTGAGAATTTGCAGTATTAATATTCCCTCCTATCTCTTTTTTTTTTTTTTCTTTCTAAATGGAGAGTCATGTCTGAAATGGATGATCTATTTTGGCAGAAGAAAACAAGAAGAAAAACCATCTAGTCTCCACAAAGCTAATTTGGGACTACTGAAGTCTTTGTCCATACTAATCCCAGTCTGACATGGGATAAGGTGCTCTAAGGGCATGAAGCCCCAGCCACCCATTGTTTCCCATTCTTGGTTCAGCATACAATTATTTGGGAAGCTTGGGTGTAAATAGTGTAGATATTCATGAAGTTGGTAGCCTGAGATCTGCAATGCCACATCTGCTCTGCTATTTGCAACCAACTTGTGTGGGCACATACAGTAACACCTCCTGATACCTTTAGACCCCAGGGGACACAACATTTGAGGCATAAATCATGCAGTCAGTTGAAATATCTAACAAATATCTGCCTTTCCTAGTTATTTATTGAGTCACAAAGATGAGGACACACCTTAGTTCAGATGTGACAGCATGTAGAAAATTATTTCCTGCCAATCTCAAATGACTGAATTCATGTGAAGAAAGTGCATGCTTTTAYGATATGGATTTTCAGAGACTGTGACCAATCCATGCAAATATAGTGATGGATTATTTCTAAACTTCTATCTAAAAGGATAATATTATAAATCCAAGAATTCTATTGCTTTTTTCCCACAATGCTTTCTCAAGCATTTCAAGAACTAAATCCATCCATTTGCATTTCCATTTTCATTTATTCAGGCTGGTACATAATGTTATCTATATCTGATATAAAAGTGGATATAGCATATCGAATGCAAGTTATATATAAAAGTCCAAGCCATTTCAGAATCTTCCTTGCCAACTTCAGAACTGAATAAAAAATATAAACTCATGCCCTTGATGGCTTCCTGTGAATTTCCAGAGATGAAAGTTATGGAAATAAAGTAGCAGGTATTAATTGAAAACTCTCTTGGTGTGTTTTARCAGAAGTAAATTGCAGGTCATGAGAACGTCATATCCCACAGCCTCAAATATGGACCACAAGTTACAAGGATATTATTTACTTTGTGCATACAAATACTTCTTAATGTCACTATCATAATTCTTTTTTCTCTCCTTTTCTTTTAAAACATGGTGGTGCTGAAGGTCTTCACAAATTTTGTGAAAAAGCTCCTGTATGCATAGTTGGTTACATCCGGTATATGAGAGATTACTGTGTTAAAAGATGATATATCAAGAATTGCTGCGTAATGATGCATTTGAAAGTATGTATTTAATTTCCTACAATGCTGTAAGAATCCATGATCTTGATGAAAATCCCAACTGTGTCAATCCCACGAACAAAGTTTCAGTCGCACATTTGACTCTCAGTGCTTTCTGCCTTTTMATTTTTCTCTGATAATCAAACCAACCACACTTGCTATGTTCTAAGCAGGACAGGAAGAAGGCTTTTGGTCTGAAAGCCAGTTTACAAAAGGTGATTAGAATCACCTCGGATTAGAACTCGGATGTTTTTCCTTCCATGGCACAGTCATTAGGTCATCTGATTACCTTAACAATTTACATGACCTCATGACCAGAAGATGTGGATGAACTTCGACTTGACCTTTATGTCTACTTTTATCTTCTTGATTCTTATTATGTAGGCTATCAAAAAGCTATAGAGATCTGCAGGGTTTTATTAAGATGCTAAGCTGTGACAAAAAAATAACTATACAATGACCAACTTTTACTCCATGACCTTTAGGTATAATGGTATTATTTCTAAGACTGCTTTGAATTTAACTGGGTCTAGAAGCTCAAAAGCACTGTAATTATTTCAGAGTTCACAAGGACAATAGATGTTGTAGGTTAGACAAGAGTGGGGTTTTGGGGACTCTTGTTGCCTTTTTTGGGGTATTATGATGCAAACATGTGCAAAGAATGATGAGGAAATATCAAGGAATATTACTTATGATCAAACCTCTGTGATGCAAACTAGAACTTGCAACTACTGRTCAAATTCTGTAAAATCATAATAATCTACTGTATTATCTTATAATATACTTTACCTTCTCATGTCTTAAGTAACTAATATTTTAGTATAAATATTTCTACACAAAATAAAAAAAAATCTTGGAAAAGACTTACCTACTGGTACTTCTAAAATAAAGTCTGGTGTTTTGTCATAACCCTTTGCACGAAGCTGATCTTCAGCTATACACAGGGAACAAGAACTATTGTTTATAAAACTAATCTATTAAGTAGAAAGCAGTATAATTATTTTTCTTTTAAATAGGAGTGCAAGTATTATTAATGCAGTCATACATATCTTTCTTATGCATGCAATGCTGTGTCAGATTAAATGAACCTTCATAGAAAACCTGAAGCATGGATATAAAAGTGCTGCTTTGTCATTTCTGCATTTTATGTCTTCATTATAAACATCATTAATTCAAGCTGTCATACAGTATTATATAACTCCCCMAAAATTCAAAATAAATATATTTGCTGATTGAAAGAAGAGTCTCCTCACTTTAAGAAGCTCGTAGAGATTAAGCCTACCAAAACAAAAAATATGACCTGCCAGGATTTTATTTTAATATTAACACGAAGTTGTTTAAAAGCAAGAACAAAAACCTTCTTTTCCAGATGGACATCTATCAGAAGACAGAAGACACAATTTTAATTTCTCTTGCGTCCTGCATAATGTTGAATTTATCTGATTTTGAAGAATACAAAGATTAAACAATTTTCTTAACATTATGTATACAACACTATTGCTTATGAATTTTAAGGCTTTCAGGAACATTTCAAGAAAAAATAAAATGGACTGAGGAAGATAAAACAAACAAAAGATGCTTGCTCTAAAAGAAAGGAAGATGCACAAAGTATTCTGTATTTTCTGAAGTATTGTCCTTGATGCCCAATACTATTATACTGGTATTTCTGAAACCCCATTTCTCCATTAGATTTTGGAGTGACCTGGTCATTCAATTCCAGACATGGCTTTTTGTCTTCACCCAACCTCAACTAATGGCACAACCTAGTAACAAGTAAGGCCGCGTAGTCCCTTAACACCTACTGGGCTGTTGACATTGTCATGCATCCTATTCGCCTTTCTACATCACCTTTGATTAAAATTAATGGCCCATTCTTACTGTTAGGTAGCTTATTTCCAATCCATTTATCAGGTTAGGACAGTAGTTTCATGGCCAATGTTCAGAACTCAGTTTTAGAATACTTTGTGAATATAATGAAAGGTCAGTAGTTTGAGCCCAAGCAACATTTTTATAACATAAAAAACATTCACAGCTTATAAGAAATTCACCTTTAGAAAACGAAATATTTTAAATATACCTAAGGCAAATTTTCTCCTCCTTTTTCACCACATGATAAATATCTTTTTTTTTTTTTTTTTTAATAATGAGCTATTATTTAGAGCTGGAAAACAGTAAGCTTGAGAAGCTGTACAATATTTTAAATATAAACTACAATCTTTGCTACCGCATTTTATAGCTGTTAGTACTTTTACTGAAGTTTGAGAATATTCCTTCACAGTAGTACATTATCTTGTAAGTACAAGCTGCAATTATATCAGATATTTGCTATTAAAACTTTTCTGGATTTTGAGTCTGATTTGCCTGTTGGTTATTTTTTTCAAACTCAGATTGTCAAGTATATACATAAAAGATATTTAGGCTAACAAGGCTCTAGTTTAAAACAACCTATGACTAGACAGTTTTATGCTATACTATAAAAATGAATTAATGTCTTAAGCAATTCCTTAATCTTGGTAAGAATAAAAAAAAAAATCCAGTTTCCTCTAAATCTACTTAACTATTACCAGGACTTAATTGTTTAAAATGAGTTAGAAAAGATGATCAGATATCTTGGTTGAAACTCTCAATATTTAAGAATATACAGGCAGCAATACAAATCTGTGTTTTCCATCACATCTAAGAATGGCTAGTATCACAAATTCAGGGAAATGGCCTTAAAAAAGGCAATAAAAGCAAGGACAATCGAAAGAACAGTCATTTCCTGGCATGCTGACTCAGCAGGTCTCTGAGCACTTGCATTACTTTGAATACTCTTCACTAGACATTTTTGGAAGGGAGAATCTGTCTGAATTGATCTGACCTTAAAGTATGTCCTGATCAAGAAATGTTTTTCTGTTGTGAATCTGTTGCTGAATATTGTCAAGTATATTTTAAAAATATTTTTATTATTCACATGTGTTGGTAGCAACATATGTGCATCCATGCTATATCTACCAATTATTTTGAACTTTCATATCTAAAAAAAGGAAAAGACCATGAACATGTTATTCTAACCCCCTCTTCCTCCAAGTCAACAAGTTTCAAGCTTTGCAGCTCAGACATGATTCTGATGCATCCAGAAGTCACAGAGATATTCTGTACACCTGAAAAGACCTTTTAGCACAGATGAAGACAATGACCTAGGCCTACCTGACGCCAGAGCACAGCACAGTGAATCTGAAGATTTTAGTTCTGATGTGTAGGCTTCTAAAGCTAACTGCTCTGAAAACAGAAAAATCCCCTCGCTGACCCAAAAGGCTGATTGATATTGTCCCCAAAATTATACTCGTGCAATTTATACCCACTCTGCCATCTGACCATACTTCTTCACTTGCAATACTCTGTATTGTCCAGGTGAATGCAGCAATACAGGAAACTTCTTGTTCCTCCTGAATATTTTCCTTTGTTAGGGATTAGTGCACTAATATGGAAACTGGCAGAAACCGGTCCCTCAACATACAGGACTTCAGTCTTTACTTACAGCCTAACAAAGATGGATTGCACAGAAATAATAATAACCATTCAGCATCTCTTAAATCATGACTAAACAATACTTCCGTACACATAAAATGTAAACCATATTTTAAATATTCCCAATTATATCTTTACATGCTGATGAGTTAGCCCATTTTGAAAATTTTGATTTGAGAGCACAAATTTCTTCAAGCTTACTTTTAAAGATGAGTTTGAAACATAACAAAGGTCATTAATCATTAAAATTTAAATCTAGTCTGTGTTCAATACAAGCTTGCACAAGGCCAAAGAAATGACAATTGTTGGGTTGAAGATCCATTAGTGAGTCATCTGGTTCTTCTCCTTATATTGTGATCAGATTGATTTCATTAATCTCCTGCCAGTTTTGATGGATGAGCGTCAAGTCAAGTCTTAAAGTTTTCATTGAAAGTGATTCTGTAACTTTCCTTGGCAGCTTGTTCTATAGTTACTAGTTCTAGCATTGTATTAGCATTAACATCACCTTTCCAACTGCAGATTAAAACCTTAGCAAAAGAGCACAGTAACTCCATTCCTTAAACATCAATTCTTTGCAAAATTTTACTATTTGTTTAAGATTTCCAAAAACTTAACTTTTAACTTTAGCAGAGATCATTTTCTGGTAAAACAAGTATAATTCCCTAATCATATGAATTTAGTAGAAAGCTGAACTGTAACAAAAGATAGTATTTAATATTGCTATTACAAGGAATCCAAGATTTAAGAAGTCATCATAACTTCATTAACACAGTAAGAGAAACAATGTTCTAAATATTAATCACTGTTTCAATGGTATTTATATACAGGTAATATAGCACAGACTCCAAAAAATATAGTAGAGGCTCAAAAAAAAAMCACTTTCTAAGAAATTAATCTTTAAAATAATTTAAGCATAGGTATTGGGAAAAGAGTGCTTGCACTGGTCRTGGAGACTGTACAAAGGGTTGAATGAGTGAATCTCCTCGCAGTTCTTTAATTCATAAAGCATTTTGCAGCTAATATTTCTTACGCTTCCTCCTAAGTCTCACAAGGCTTAGATTATGGCTAATATCTCATGACACCAAAAGTAATACTACAGCAGATATTAAAGCATTTTTTTCAGCTACTTATTCTATAAAATATTAATTGCAAGCCTGTGCATGTGCTGTATATATAGCGTATTAGGTAACTGAGTTCCTCCTCAGTTCTAAATCAATAAAAGATATCATGTACAGCATGAATCATTTCTTACTCTTCCTTTACTACCTAATACAACATGTGTTGAAGCCTTCTTTTTTTTTGGAAGTAAACAGTCACTGAAATCTTTGAAGCTAAAGACTCAGTGGCTAGTCTTTACTACAGATTCTTACCTATAAAAGACAGATTCTTTTCCAAAAGCATTTCCCGCAGCAGGACTTCATGCTCATGCCCAATTGCGCTGACAGTTTTAGGTTAAGAAATGAAAGATTACTTTGTGAAAGAACAAAATTCAGAACAACATCTCAGGTAAATGATTCATTCATGATAAAATTCATTGTCCCTCATCTTCATTTCAGAAGTGATCAATGATTTGAACACTAAGTTTTGAAATACTGTTTTTTCAGATGCATTTAGCACTTCCTGAAAATAAGGCTATTGCATACAGCATTAAGTTTATGAAATTGAGACCCATTACAGAGTATTTGCTCAGTACAATAGAAAGATACTTCTCATCTTGTTTTCACTTTTTCCAGAACAGAAAATATGAGCTTAAAACATGAGCTTAAATAGCTATTAAATTACTCTCTACTGACAAATGTATCAATTTCTCTAATTCAGAAAAGAATGTTTTATTTTTTTCTTTATACTCTGAAATTGATAGGCACTAAATCCATCTGAAACATCTTACTGTAACAAAACATCCTTTTAATTGATTTTTCAGAAGCATGAACTAACGTCAGGGATGGATGAAATAATATTTTACAGTGAAGTCCTTTTCACTTCACTGACAGACTGTTGATCCAATGTGCTATTCTTAGTAATATGTAGAAGTCATCACATCAAACACTTTTATCTGCCTGGAGGTCAAAATTTTATTCTGGAAACTTTCAGGAAGAATCTTATGGATCAACATAATTAAGAATCACATATTGAACACAATTAAATACCTAATTCTATTTAGAATAACTTCTGCAAACTATGGAATATCTTGTCATTATGGGAAATTGTTTAATTTCTTTCAACACTTTACGCTGAACAGCAGAAACTATAACTGTAAGCAATCTTTTCATATATATATACACATATTTTTTCAAATGAAACTATATCTGCATCTGTTACTAGCACTTACAGTACAAAAAAAGGGGGGAAGGGAATCAAATGAATAATGGCAAAAAATGCAAGACAAATGCTGCAAACAGAATTTATAATGCACCATAAGCAGAAACACTTAGACTTAGTCTATAATAATACCTATTATTGATGTATGGCAATGACCATGGGGCAAAACTTGTAAATAACCTCACAAGCCATTTTCTGCTCAGGCAATCCAGCAGCCTAGTTTCCCGTAAGCATCTGAACTATTACTGAAAAATAGCCTCTTGGCATTTACAAAGAGGTTGACTTCATACTTTAGTCCATGCATATATAATTAGATAGTTATATTTAAAATCAATATGCAATCCTTCAGAAGACATTATGCTTTTAAAACCTTAACTTTAAATTGATTTTTAACTATTTTATGTGCCTTGAAATTAACATCTAATTCAGCAACATACTTGCAGATAATATAGTCACTCAGCGAAGTATTACCAAACTTTTCTGCACCAAAGTAGGACTAAAAAACTTTTCATTAATTTTCACTGAAATTGTTATATACTGAGTAAATTGATTTGAACCATAAGCTGTAGAGAACAGAGAAGATTTTAGACTGCAGGGAAATTATTTCTTAAAAGCTATCAGTAAGCTTATATATGTATTACCTTTCCAGAAGACTATAGCCAGATTGTTCATGAAAAAATCTTGATCATATGTGCCAAATTTTGCATACAAGGTTTTATGATCAATAATTCTTTAAAAATGTAACTTCACAGATTAACCCACTTTCATAGAACTATGTTTAATGTTGAACGGCAAAACACTTTGGCAAATAGAGTTAGAACTCTAATGGCAACAGGACTGAGCCTGTAGCAGTTATACAGCAAATAATTCTAATGGAAAGAAGACATTTTCAACTACACAACCTCAACACATACCACAACCTCAAGAAGTGTGAGGAAAGTAAGAAGAAAAATCTTCTCTAATAACTGTTTCCAGTCAGTGTCTTGTTTCTCTCGCATACTTAAATGCCACTACAGCTTTCCTATCCTGTAACTACAGAGTGAAATCCAGATTTTTTTCCCAAACTTGATGTAGAGATTTATGCCAGGATTCTCTGCAGCTTGGCGGGGAGTTATCTTCCAGTCTGCTCAGTGGTAGAATGTCACAATTTTGAAATTGTTCCTTCAATAACAGACTGAAATAAAAGAACAACTCTTCCAGGTCATTATTAACAGATAGTGGGTCACAGGTATAATTCATAAGAAATTATCAACTTTTCTGTAGTATTCAGTACTGTATGGACTTCCTGCAGTACCCTCTTTGGATAATGAGGAACTCTGATTAACCATTTCATCATTTCTAAAAGAGAAAAACAAGAAAGAAAAAAGAAAAAAGAAAAAAGAAAAAAAGAAAAAAGAAAAAAGAAAAAAAGAAAAAAGAAAAAAAGAAAAAAAGAAAAAANAAAAGAAAAAAGAAAAAAGAAAAAAGAAAAAAGAAAAAAGAAAAAAGAAAAAAGAAAAAAGAAAAAAGAAAAAAGAAAAAAGAAAAAAGAAAAAAAGGAAAAAGAAAAAACTCAAGTCCCCTCTAAAACTCAAGCTGCTTTCTTCAGAAATAATGTCCTTTTTATAGATATCCCCATTTCCATTAGAAAGACAAGAAAGTAAAAGAACTGCACTTGAATGTCAGACAAAATTAAAAACATACTAATCAGTCAAGCAAACCCAACTTAGTTTACATTTGAAAATATTCCAATTAAAACTAACTTTCATAATGAAGCTGATACCATAATGTTGATCATTATCTATGGAATCTTGTAACTTAATCACAGAACAGTTAAATTTTGATGAGACCTCCACATATCACCTAGTCCAGTCCCTTGCTGAAAGCATAGTCAACTAGTGCTAGCAGAAAATGAGACGCACATTTCAAGTAATCAAAACCAAGTCAGGCATATGAATTTGCAGGCACCAGACTGACAATTCCTGTTGTCCATCTGATTTTTGTTGAAACGGTGTAAGAGAAAGCTCTGCAGTGACCCTCTAGTTGATTGAATGTAAAATAGAGGAGTATGAAACGTGTTTTGTGAAGCAGAACTTTATGTCAGGTTAAAGCTAGACACATCTCCACACAGTCTAAGCTCGTCAATTGTGCACCTAAAATTTTATGGGAAAGGATACTGTTTGATGCAGTCCACCAGTGGTC